CGCGGGCAGGGGCAGGGCTTGCGTGCGCGCGGGCCTTGGCACGAGGGCGAGAGTCGGTGCGTGGGTCCGGACCCAGTCATGGCCCGGGACGACTCGGGTGGTTCGGTTGGCTGGTTCGGGTCGGTCGGGTCCGGTCGGTCGACTCTGGCGGCTCGATTTGCTCTAACTTCTCGCACGCTTATCCGATTGACCCGAAACTTCGACCCACGCGCCTCAAATCTTTTTCTCCTCGTCTTGAGATGCGCAAAAAGATGTCACCCCGCAATTAATAAATATGCTCGGAAATGGTTCGCGTGGCTCGGACATGGTTCAGACGGCTCGGAAATGTCTCGGAAATGGCTCCTCTTCCCGAACTCGAATAATGTGGACCTAAACAACACCAAAAAGACAAGAAAATACGCCGAACCATAAAATCTACAAAACGAAAGCAAAAATGCACGAAACACGATAAAATGGACCGGTCAATACTAAAACGGACCTAAAATCACTCAACTAAAACACATAAAACACACGAAAATAAGCACAAAAACACAATAAACAATATGCATCGGCATTGTGACAGAAGGGGATCTCTCATCTTCTCTCGACTCCAAAAACGAGAAACCCTATCCCCTCTTCTCTTTCACTCGTTTTTCACTTTTCTTTCATATTTTTCGACGTAGAACTCAGATTTACACTCGGATTTCGCTATTGTTCTTGGATTCAAGCTTGTCTTTCGAATTCGACTTTGGGATTTTTATCGTAAGATTATCTTTTCTCTTAATTGATGAATATGAATGGTCTTATTGAAATGTTTCTTTGTGTTGGATTGATTATGAGTAGCTAAATCCTTATGCTAGGGATAGGGGATTGATGTTTTGATATCGTTTGTGATTGTCGGGCTCAGGATTGTTCAATTTCATACGAGTTGATCTTTTTATAGGGTTTTTCAATCGTCGGGCTCGAATATTTAGAATTGTTGAAGGGTGACACATCAATCCCCAATTGTTTGCAATTGTGTTCGACATATTCTTGCTTGATGTTGGTTATTCTAAACGGACTAGTTGATTAAACACCTTCTAGTCTACTTTAATCGACTCTTAGAACCGAAAGGGGAGGAGTCAGTCGAAATAGGCTTGTATGAACTAGGCTTGTTCGTAGCTGTATTGCCTAGAAGTTAAATGGATTGTTAATTTGCCGTTCTAGTTTGTTCTCTTGTTACAAAAAGTTATTGAGAATGAGTACTTGAACATGTCGATTATTCAAATCACTTAGCTGAACAATCTCTTGCTTGATAATTGCATTTTCGAACCAAAACGGATATCCCCGACTCCCTAGCTTCTTAAATCCTGATTGTTCTTCGTCGTTGCTTGCTATTTCTATTTACCTTATTTGAAGTCTTTTTCGTAGTTAATAATCCAAATCAATCCATCTGAATTAGAATATTTAGAAATTTTGTTTCTCTTCTTGTTTGAATAAACGTATAGAATATTCCGGCTAACCTTCCTCGTGAGACACGACCCGGTGTTCGAATCTTTCGATTCTACTCCGGAAAAAATTTCAGTTTCCGCAGACAAAACTGGTTTCCTCAAATAGTATAATATGGAACTATATACTAAATGAAAATTTAGTCAGGCTTACCTCTATCCATTGGTAGTGTGAACATTACCGATGAGAGATAAATGGACGCATAGACTCAACCATGTTCATTCGCCTGCTGAAGAGCACCAAGGTCGTCAACCAGATCCAAAAGTAGCTCAATGACTCCAATCAAGCCTTAATCAACTTTGCCTCTAAAGTCCAGCGCCCTACATTATCTGAAATACCAACCCAAATAAATAATAATACAAAATAAATGAACTGAAAAATGACGTAAAAGAAAAAAGGAAAGACTCGACTTAAACCAATTTAGTGAACCTCAATTGTCCTTTCTTCTCCATTCGATTCGCTCAATTTTCAAATTCCAGGAAGGGAGAGAGACCATCACAGAAGAAGTAACATAATTTTTAATTATTCCATCTGTAATTAACAGAGGCGAGTTGCGTTATATATATAATTATCCCATCTGCAATTTTCAGTTAGATTTCCAACAAAAAAAAGGGATTATCTGGCGATTAATTGCGGATTTTATCACCCCTTGCCGCCTTACGTTGCCGTCATACCGACGGCGCCAAGATCCATCTTCCCAACTTTGCCGGCGGCCGAAGGCATAAAACAAAAAAAAAAACAAATCCAAAGCACATGGACAAAAATCTGCGAGAAGAGAGCTTAAAAAGGAAAGAGAAAAAATGGAAGAAAAAAAAAAGAGTGAACAAAATCTGCGGGAAAAGAAGGAAAAAAGGAGAAGAACAGAAAGAGTGAACGGGTAAAAGAAAAGAAGGAGAGAGATATTATCTCCAAATTGGCTAATGACTCCCCGATTTTCTTTCCAAATAAACTGGAATGGATCAGTTCAAAATTTTGAAAAATTTGGAAACCCAAAAAATTATAACGCTATTTAGTAAATTTTATTGTTTAAGCGGGGACATATTCATTTTTTCGCCAAAAATTATGCTAAACTTTAGGCGGGAATTGAAATCTTTTTTTTGCTGATTTTTTACTTAATTTTTTCAAAAAACTATCATTTCCTCTTTATATATTAATAGATTAAAAAACTATTCAATTTCTAAAAATATATATCTTTTCTTATATACTATTTTATTAATGAAAAATAAGTTAATAAAATAGCAATGTATAATAATTTAAATTATAGCACTTGGTAATTATGGAAATATATAATATATATAAATATTCGAATAGATACTATGCAACTCATTATATAGGTTGAAAAAATAAATTAAAGAAATAAAAAATAAAAACATACAAATAAAATATTTAACCATTAAAAATTTGGGTGTTGCATAAGGATTAAAGTTACTAAAAATTAAAATTTATCTATCAAAGTTTTTTCTTGCACTTAATAATATTTAAAACATTAGTTTATTAAATAAAACTAAAATTGGTTAGTCAGGAATTGAAGAAGATTTAAACCAATTATTACTTGAATTAAAATTTAGTCTAAAGATTCGTGAAAATCTTTATTAATTGTTTTCATAATATAACCAAAGATATAAATATATTAATACAAGTTTTGTTGATGATTGGATGAATTAAAAAAAATTAGTAATATGTAGACAAACACATAAACACATAAAAACACACACACATATTAAAAGTTAGTCATTTATGAGAAAATAAAATTCTAACTATATATCTTTAATAAATAGAATAAATAAAAGTACACCCAAGTACCATAAGTGGCATTTGGTAATCACTAAAATGATATATAGGTGTATAAAAATTTATATCTATATCTATAAAATGTACAAATCTACCTTACCATGAATGGCCTAGTTTTGTAAATGAAAAAGAATTCGCTTATATTTTGCAATAAGTAGGCTTTATTTATCAGCTTAATCTATATATATATAATAAGAATTACCATTTACTAAAAATAGTAGCTAAAAATTTAGGAAACATCTAATGCATAACCATTTTTGAAAACTTTTTAAAAATATACGCATTAATTGTTTCTATATCTACGTTTTCAAATAAGATCAAATAAGATATGATTAAAAAGTTACGTAAATAAATTTATTAACTTTTTAAATATATGCATTAATTGCTTCCATATACACGTTGTCAAATAAGATCAAATAAAATATGATCAAAAAATTACTTAAATAAATTCATTAATATCTGAATTATTTTCATTTATATTTATTATAATAAATTACAAGATTGATTTTCCGTGATTCATATTGATAATAATTTGGTCAAGATAAATATTATTCTATTAATATATGTAATACTTTCATTGATATTCATTATAATAAATTAAAAGACAAATTTCCATGATCCATATTGATAATATTTTGGTCAAAATAAATATTACACCATATTTTAAGTTATAACCATAATATTAATTTTTTTCACAAATATTCACTTTGTATCCAATAATATTTATGGAAATCGTAACAGGTTAGGTAGAATTTTTTTTCCAAGTAATAAGACAAAATCAAGTTGGTGAATTAATATTTGCCAATATATTTTTTTCTTAAGCTTTATTTTGTTAAATATGAAAAATAAATTGTTTTTCAAATTAATATAATTTACCATTACGAGATAATGACCAGATACATTAAATAGTTTCATTAATTATAAAAAATTAAAATTAAAATATATTAATTATTTTTTAGAATTTATTTGTATATTATTGGCGCCCATGATTATTTTTTTTTATTTTTTTATTTTGATTTATTTCTATAATTGAATTCTTATAAAATATATTTTCATTGCCGAGAATGATAAATAAATTATAAATGCTTATAATGCAAATTAGAAAAATCTTGATCATAGAAAGGATTGAGTTTTTGGCATATTCTAAATCAAAGTTGTTTAATTAGTATACAAAATTGAATTCTAAAAAAACATGTGTATATTTTGTTAAATATTTATGCACTATTTAATTTTAAACTGATTACATAAATAAATAATTCTAACATGCATTAAATATTTTTCATTACATAAAAATAAAAATAAAAGAAGACGTACAATTTCTATAACTTTATAAATAATAATGACATTATATGACAACAAAGTCTATAATAAAATAATAATTATTATATGGTGAAGAAGAATAAGTAAAATTATTATTTTCTCTTATATCAAGGAATAAATATATATACTAAAATAAAATTTATATTAGTATAAATGTGATAGTGAGATAATATATTAATTATTTTACAAGTTAGCCCTAACATGCTCATATTTAATATTTTGACTAAAAAACAACGCTGATTAAAGGAGATGCAAAATAGATTGTAATATTATTGTTTATTACACTTAACGTTGATTAAAAGAGGTGGAAAATAGATGATAACCTTCTTGCTTTATATACTTAAACGGACAAAGCCTGTGAAAATAACTAATTTAATATTTCTGTCCCGTGCATCGCACGGGGTGCGTACTAGTCTATATATGAAAAAATAACTATTTTTTCCTTTACACAATAGTTAATGCGCATTAAGTATCTCTACCGTTCCAAAAGTAATAGGCATTACATATAAATTAACTCAAATAGAATGATTGATGGATCCATAACACCAATTTCATAGGAATTTTGTTGACATAATTTTTAAAAAGATATTCATTATAATTATAAAAATTATTTTAATTAATTTTATTATGGCTGCAGATAGGAATTGTGTGTTCGTCAATGAAAAGCACTTAAAATATATAATAAAATAATTATGTTTGAATTATATTAACTGAATAAATAATCTAAAATATTAATAAAATTTTATAAAATGTATTCAACTTAACCATGAATAAATTAAAATTCTAAAATATCTCATTTGTATTGATAATACTACTTATAAAATAAATTGTATATTAATAACTTATCTTTTGACGTTCAGGTAAAATTAAGAATTACAAATTTCACTAAAATATCTATACACATCCAAAACACTACTCAAGGTGTTAAAAATAAATTTTTTATTATATACTATTTTATAAATAAAATGAGTAAATAAAATTATATAGTCAAGTAATAATTAAATTATAGCATTTGGTACTCATTGAATTATATCATATATCAAAACTTAAATTTTTTATTAATTAAATTATTATATATGTTGAAAAAAAATGAATTAAATATAGACAAAAAAATATTGTATTCAAAATAAATATTTACTATGAAAATTTGGTGTTGCATAAGAGATAAAAGTTACTAAAAATTAAAAGTTAATTATCATAAATTAGTATTTCATGCAACTAGAGTTATTATAAAGAAAAATTAATTTTATGGATTCACTGTTGATCAGTTATCGACAATATGCACAATGTGAATTGCTAAAAAAGATAGTATAATCGATAATTTTATAAATACATGTAAGTAATTTGTATACAATCATTATATTTTGGATTTTTACACTTTAATAAATTTTCTATAAACTTATAACTAATAAAATTCATACATACAAAAATAAATTAGAAAAATAAAAATAAAAATATTTACATAAATATTATATTATTATAGAATTTATATTATCTAAAATAATTTAATAATATATATTTTTTAAAGTTATACTATATATCATATCGCACGGGTAGCAACATTAGTATTATAAAGTGACGAGTCAAAGACGGCTAAACATCCTGTAACAAAAAATTATAAACTATAATTCATGTTATATTTTTCACAAGTGTATTTAAAATATATTTAATTTTAATATTTTAGTTGGACGGGTTAAAAAATACTAGTATTATTACCAGTAGTATCGGCCATTGAAATAGGTCTGCTGAAATGGGAGATGGGAATGACATGATGTGGGGCCATTTACCCCTTCTGTTGAGAGCGAGCTCCAAAGAGTCGGTGGAATACATACTCGAAGCCCTGTGGCGCACCCGCCGCACTGGCCTTGACGCCGCCGACCGGCAAATCTTTCGCGATATCCTTCAGCTGCCCCCAAACGATTCCAACCTCGACCCTGTAACTTTCCTGTTCTTTACTCTCTCTCTCTCTCTCTCTCTCTCTCATGGATGCTTTGTTTTTTCTCTTCACCTATATTTTGCTACAACTCTAATTTGATTTCATTTGGGGAATTTCGTTTCGAATTGCTTTCCGCGAAAATTTTCATGTTCTTGTGCGCTTTAATGGACGTAAAATGGTGGCTTGATTTTTTCCTTTTCTGTTCCAGCTATTAGTTTGCCTACGAGTATTGATTAGGAGGTGTGTTCATGATAATATTGATAGAGATGAGATTCAGAAGTTGTTTCCTGCTCAAGTCCTGCCTGAATTGCAAAGATTGTTGACTCTTTTACTGCAAAAGTTTCAAAAGGAATGGCGAGAGGATGTAGCAAAAGACCAGGTGCGCTCTTGTATTTCGCACTAATGATAGCTGGTCAGGATAAATGTGCAGATCTTTTCCAATGGTCCAGTTGTGTTTCATATTCTTTTCTTGATTGTTATATTATGCAATTGTGTTCCTTAGGTGACTTTGCCTCGTCTAAAATCAATGACATGGAACACGATGAATGAGGAACAAACAGAACTTACAGCAGTTATCAACATGATGGTAGTTTTTGACTTCATCATGAGATGATACTAAGCATTTCACTATTTAAAATGCATCTGATGTATAATTTTGCTGTCTGTAGCTTAATAGCGATGCACGGGCAAACTCGGATGAAAGGGATCTCAAGTTTCATTTGGTAAAAGGTACGACGGAAATGATGTTGAAGTCCATGTATTGTGTAAGAGATGATTTGTCTGAACATGTCAGTCATACTGCTTCTCTTGAGTCCAGTCGTCATTATTTTTAAATAGCTTTATAATCCCTTTTCATCGTGGATTTACCTTCTCAGGGAGAAATGGGAAACAGACACCTGAGTCAGAATTCTAATATCATTATAGATTAGGTTCCAATGTTCCCCAATGATCAAGGTATTTAAAGATTTTATCAATTTATTTCATCAATATTGTAATTTGCCACTTTCGGTTGATGTTATTCCAATATTTCCTACTTATATTTCCTCTTATCCAGTAACGAGTCATGAATAATTTCATATGTCACTTTGAGATGCATGACTAGTTATAAGTGTTGTGCTGTGATTCTTCTGTTTTATCTAGTTTATGTGTACATGCTACTGTAGTTATTGTCGCACCTACACCACTGAGCCTAGGTCATAACTTGGCATTGCTTCTTGGGTTAATAGCTATTGTTGGGATTCATAAATTAGGTTATCACTGAAGACTTCAGAGATCCTTGTTTGCATAGTAGGGTGATTTGCTCAAGGCTCTGGACTTTAGACCCTTGTATTCTTGTGTAGAACTGATTTTAGGATGGTGAACTTTTTTTTTATCTTCCTTGATTTATAATTACCAAGTGGAAGCTATGGAAGAGTTATCCATCCCAAAGATAGGATCAAGTAAGCTTGTCCACAAAAAACAAATGTGCAAGAGATACATTGTTATTTCATTTATTTCAATAGCTGAGCTTTGTGCCCATTTGCTTAGAATATTTATTTGGGTTCGGACTCTATTTAAGTAGACTAATATTGATGCTTAGGATAGCTGTTGTTACTTAGGATGGTTGGTTAAGCTTGGGTATGAAGTTCCTAAGTATCAACCTTAGGTTGGGGGAATTTGTCCCGAATAGTTGTTAGTTATTTTCTTAATTAATAATATTGATTATCAATTATTTTTGTTTGCTTTCACCCTTAACTCTATCAATTGGTCCGACCTGCTGGATCCAAAAATCGGATGCAGAGTCAGGATAGAGAAGGGTATTACGTCAGTAACGACTCCTATGAAACCTATGGATTGATTTTTAGCACAACCTAGCCGAATTGAACAGTTGATGAAGCAACTACTTTGTGAGAAAGCAACTCTCCCGAAGTTGTTGCCAGCGCAAACCGTGGTGGAACTTGTTCCTCCTCCTATAGTTCTTCTACAGTTGTTGTGGTTGCAGCCTATGTTCCTCTTCCAACACCTACACCTACCCTCTCCTTTACATGCACTACCTGCTCGTCTCTACTCTCTCAACGAGGACTCTAGGGTTGGTCAAAGATGAGGTTATATTGACTAGCGATGAGATGAGAGCGAGACGAGGGACCTTCCTGTGGAAGATGAGAGTTTATATATCTTCGTCGATGGGATAGAGGTGGTCAGCAAGCGGCATGGTGTCGTTTGACGCTTGGCAGGCAAAGGTGAAGTCGAGTTGAGAAGGGTCCAGTCGTCTGCAATTTCAATACGCCACAAAGCACGACCATATAGGTGAACGATAGTGAACGTGCGTTGGCGAGTTGGGGTGGACCGACGGCGACGGCTATCTATTCCTTATGAATTTGGAATTTTTTGCGTGTGTGTAATTTCACTTTGATATTGCTCAATGGTATTTCTAATTTTATTTTAGTTTCTTCTCCTCATGGTTTTGACTTTTCCATGGTTAAGCGGATTACCAAGATGTCGAAGAAAGTCTCTACAGATATACTTTATGGTGTGGTGAAGGTCTCTGGCGGGCACACAATCCAAGCGGGGCCGAGTTTAAACATCACTTGGCCAGGTTGCCTGATTATCTCTTGCTCGCAAAGGATGGCATGAAAATGCATTATTATTATTTCCTAAAACTATATGTCTCATTTAGCCTGATGACATATTGTGTGTATCTTTTGATTTTGCAAAACATCCTTAACATTTTGTTTCATAATATTTTTAAAAGTGTGCAATTTCAATAGGTCACTGGAGTTTTTATTAAATGTAGCTCAATCTCGAAGTAACTTTTAATCTGTGGAAACATGAAACTTTTTACCCTCTCTTTTATCGCATTAATTACTTTTCTTCTGCATGGACATGCTTAAGGTCATTTGATTTCAACACACAATCCAAGTTGTTGGTAAAAATGAATTATTTACGTGCAAGTTATACTTATACATTCATGTTACTTTTTAGTCGTGGTTTAATTTAATGCCCATCTTATTATTTTGGAGATGCGTCCTTTTATCTCTCTAATTTTTCCATGTGTTGGTTTATTATAATTGTCCTTTGAATTGGAGAATTTATAGTTTGATTCCTGTCGGTACTTATTTCTTTGTTAGATTTCAGAAAGTATCCATATGACTGGATTTTTAGTTCCCGGTTTAAGAAATGAAAATTTTAATTTACCTTGAGAAGTTATAACAATATGGAGTGTACATTGAGTCAATGTGTTGCATGCATGGATTCCTGTTTCTAGGAGTTAATACTCTTCTTGAGGCTTGCAAAGTAATTAAGACAAAACAAAGTTGGGTTTGTTAAATTTTGTCAAGCATATCTAGATCGTTTTATTCAAATTTGTTGTGG